TCTCTATGGCCTCGCCTGATCCAAAATGTATGTGGATTACGGCTTTATATCGTCGAAACGAGTTTCGGGATTCAGGCTTTGGTAAGGCTTTTCATAGCGGGATGTTTGTTTTGGTGCGAATATTGCTGATGTCGGTCTCTTAAACACATGTATTTGTTAAATACACCACTTTGTTTTGTATTGTACTGGAGTTGATGAATTGAAAACTTATGTGTAAAGAATAAAACAAAACAAAACAGTTCAACGACTATTTAGTTGAAACAATAATTCCTTTCATCCAGATCTGGAAATTTTTAAAATTATGCACTACGATTTAAAATCACGATTTCATTTAAGATTGTTTAAGTGACCATTTAATGAGTTTTTATAGTATGCTGTAATTCATATTGTATTCAATGGAATTATATTTTGTCTACTAATGCATAATGTAATGATAGCCTATATAAACTTCGGAACTTTTCACTATATCAATTTTCAATGAATAATTGTCGAACCTATAACCTTGAATAACTAACAATAATATTGATTTATTGTAAACCTAAATACAATCCGAAAAATATTTGAAAATAATATCAGTCTACAGTTTTAGTTTTAAGTTGTACTAAAATAAAAATACATATATTATTTATTTATACTCATCAACAACTACATCAAAATGCTGAAAATCCAAACTATTGATTATTATGTATAAGGTCAAAAAAATTTGACCACTGTATTGATGGGCGAACGCCAAACAACAAATATTTTTCACTTGAATAATGTAAAAAAAATTGAAATTACAAAAATATCTGTAATAACATAATATTAAATAAAGTCGTAGTTCACAGAGTAGTTCATTGTCAAGTGAAAATCCCCGAACAGCTGGAGCTTTGACAGTTTCGCGCGGCTAAGTCCCAACGACTTCTGACAGGTAGGACCTTAATCCAATGATCGATTCTGATGGCAAAGCTATCTTAACTTAAATATCCTCTGTCAACACGTTTTAACAACTTTTCAAACAATAACTACTGAACACTCAGGCTCATGTCAGTTTCATTCATTTCACTCTTGAAAGTTCCATGTAATTTAATTTATCCCACAGTTGTACAAAGGTACGGTTATTTTATTCGTGAGTGAGGTAGGGTAATTTCATACTATTTATGTGTTCATGTAGGCCTACCTATCGTGTTTATGATTTTACCTATCTGTAATGGGTATTGGAGATATTTTTTATTCATAAATATTAATGAACCCTCTAGGTTTAATCTATTGTATGTACCTAATTTTTCTATCAATACATAATTAAAACTGATTTTTACGCAATAAATTTACGAATTAGTTTCAGCAATATATTTACTGTCCCAGGTTTGTTGAAAGAATGGTCAACAATCCTTTTTAACTTGTTAATGATGCTTTATTTTTATCAATTTGTCTGTAATATTGGTTGAAATATAGTTTTTTATGCTATTACTTACTTACTTTTACTCCTGTGGTCCTAGGTGGTTTTTGGCCTCGCCAACCATGTGCCTCCAAGCTCTTCTATCCTCTGCCAGCTCCAAGTCTGCTCCCATTCCTCTCAAGTACTTCGTCACCTCATCAACCCATCTCATTCTTGGTCTACCTAATGGTCTCCTTCCTTCTGGTATACCTCTGAGTACCATCTTTACCATCTCTCTCTCACTTCTACGGTTAATATGGCCCATCCATCTCAACCTCCTACTCTTAACTATTCCCTATTATGCTATTACTTAGGTAATATAAAAACGTAACAAAACCTAACATAGATTTGTTAACAAATTAATTGTGTCCGCTAAATTCACATAAATTTAAATCACTGTGTAACTAAAATGATGAACTTTTGGTCTTTGTTCAGATTTGTTTAAACGACCACCTTAATATCGCTTTCTTTTCTTCAACTAACCAATAAAATCAACCAATGAAGCAATCAACGAATGTATTTACCTTAATGATAACAGAAATCTCCTCATACTACCCCATATGACTTTGGAATATCCAACCTGTGCAAAGAACATCCAAGCTGTAAATGAGCATCAATTAATTTAACAACCTCATTCTCTGGGCGTGGCGGATGGTTTGAGAGAATTAACAAAACAATGGTCAATTATTCTCAGCTAATCGGCTAAGAGTTTGTGAGTAGTGTTTTTTGTGGAAGATGATTTAGCTCTGTTGATTGCAATCTTATCTGACATCTAAATGAAATCCAATACTGTTGATGTTGGAGCAAAATATTTGTGAGTTATTGTTAAGTCAAAACATATTATTAAACAATTATTGGTTCAACTGCATTAACATATGGCTGCTCCGGAACATATTTTCATGATTTAAAATGTATTTACATGGCTTTTTGGACATAGTAACACATCAGATATGAGTGTGGTCCAGATTTGTTATAACTGCCATGAGGTGCCATCATATTACTATGTATTGTTTAAATTAGTGTCAGTATTTTATTTGGGTCTCGCAAAAAAAACCTGAATCTTTCGGGTAATCGATCATATTTTGTATAACTTAGAAAATAAAATTACTTATAACATTTCTGACATATTACACATACTGTAATTGTTACAAATGTTTGAAAAATATCAATTGCAAAACAAAGCCTGATAATGTAATTTAATAGAGCACAAAACATCTGAGTGCATATCAAAGGTTTTATATTTCTTGTCAATTATAAAAGTATAAGAAGACAAAGAGAATGAAAAATATCTTTTGAATATCTAATTTCATAATCCGCGTTTCTGAAATGACTGCAAAAACTGTTTTTCAGTTGAAGCTTTGAAAGAAGCGAAAACACGTCAACATGTCATTCATGTAACGTTTCACATTATATTTTCCAAAGGCCCATTCGATTAGGTAAACAATCGAATGAATTGTTAGTGACGTGGTGTTCGAAGCGGGTGAACGCTGATGCAAGAGCGATTGATAAAATCAGTAACGAGATTAATTTTTCACTGCGTTTGACACTTGATGGCAACATTTAACGAATCTTTCACTACTTCAGCTTTTGACACCGGCTGACATTCGATATTTTTATGAGATATTACAACTTTTTGTTTTTGATGGATAAGTGTTGATAGGATTTACTGTGTCACTTTTGATTAACAATATTTAATTATGATTGTTTGATTTTAATATTGAAATGAAATCATTATTGAATAATACTATAAACAAAATAGAAAATCAAAATGGAACAATCAGAGCCATCTATATGAGCGGCTCATTCTTAATCACTATGTATTCCTTAGGTAAAATCTAATTTCAAGAATTTTCTACAGCTGGTCTTTATAATGTCTAATCCAGTATCAAAAGTCAAACGAGTTACTTTAAAAAAAAAGATTTTTTAAATTAAAATCTTTTGTTTTGGATATTAAAACCTTCCTTCTAGCCTCACAAAATTATGTATCTGCCTGATTTATTTGTGCCGATAGGTACATTACATTTGCCACGAACATTGGTTAAGAAAGTTTTTAATTGACTACGACCAGCTGATGATTTAGCCACAAGCATATATTAGAGCCCAAACATCTTTTGGGTCAACTAGGTCTAGCTTAGATACCTACTATAACCACTCAGCTAGACATCTATAAAAAATTTATAATATTAAAATTATATTAGCAACACGAGAACATCGATTAATCGCATCGAATTTGCTATCTAAATCATTATGACCAATTTTACCAGCACTGAAGATTATATCGTTAATGACTTAGAATGAGTACATCGAGTAATCACAAAGGATTTCCTATTTATCTTACTATAGATACCTCTACCTTTGATTACGTGTCACTTAGGACGAGTACATTGAGTGTTATCGATCTATCGTTGTCGTCACAACCACTTTCACCGAAACTTAAGATTCAATTGTCTACCACCGAAGTCATTTTGACAGCTTCTACCGACACGGAAGATTCAATTACGTATCACTTCGAATGAGTAGATCGAGTAATCGCATCGGATCTGCCATCGATGTCATTAAGACCGCTTCCAACTACACGGAAGCTATCAAGACTAATACAAATCACTTAACCCCCCTTCCTGCTTGCCCAACATGCGTAGATTGCCCATAAACCGATTAGTCGGGTTGATTGCCCATTGTCCCGGTAATTCCCTCAGGACATCGCTGACCCGCCTTACGGAATTAGGACGTTAATCTAATTGAAATTTACCTCTTAAGCTGTAAACATGATACGTTACCTATTGTGTCAGAGTACTTACATAATTTGTGTGTGAAGGGACATAATTAGTGCTCAGTACTCAAAGAGGTTAGATTTTTCTTGGTACTTTTTCAAGTAGAAGGTAAGCTAAATGGGTTGCATAGGTAAAACTCTGTTCCACAATCTCCCTTTTACCTCTGTACTAACGGAAAATATTTTACCCATGCTACATGTAAACATGTATATGCAATTAATAGTCCTAGTAAAATTTTACCATAAAAATGTTACGGTAAAAAGTTTTTTAGAGTGGGTCAAAAGGCCTAGCTCAACCAAAAACTATAATTAATAAAAGAACATTGAGTGAATGCATTTATACATTCGGGAAACATTCTTCATCATTACCTAATAAGCAGCCGTTACCCAGGAAGCGAAATATCCAACTAATAACGATTCCTAAGTCAGTTATAACATTGTTTCAAATATTCAATCCACAATAGGAGCTAATACAACAATGAACAATTCGGATATTCACCAACAATTAACTACCCTCGTTACATTCGAATATTTACAATCGAAGTTTGCATAGATGGACATATTATATCTTTGACTCTAGCTGACACCTTGCAGCCTGAGGCAACTCATGCATTGATAACAGAAGATTTTTTTGCAATCTGCAATCATTATGTGTACATTCTTACAAACCTTGTCCATTTCGCTAGAGGACGCCGATTCATGACATCTCCAACACAAACAGAAGTGTCTCTAGACGATGTTATGGCCAATTCACAGATAGAGTGTTATTTTAAACTATTTATGAAGTAACTGAAGGTGGTGTCATTGTTCCAGATGCGGCAACGTTGCAGAAGTTTGACAAGCAGCCTCATTACTCCGAGGTCAACCCCGGGGAAGACATCAGACTTGACTGTAAGATATTCAACAAGAGAGGCACGTGCTCTTGGCAGAAGGACAATAAGGTCAGTCACAACAGTGATCACAGTATTGTTTAGTGGCTAATTAGTTAAGTAGTAAATGGTTACTTGTGCTGTGCAACGGGGCATGACCATCATGTAACACAAATGAGCTTCTAGCGCCCTTAGGAGCTTCTAAAAACTTTTTTAGCATTATAAAAATGTTTGCAGAGTTTTAAGTATTTATTTTACTTAGTGGCGTAACAAGAGAACAAATAAACTGATGAAACTAAAAAATTTACTCATAACATTACTCAAAGAACAGGCACCTCAACCATAGATTATTTTGTTTAAACTAATAACTTTACATATTCAAATATTTACGATTTGTTAGTTTAGCTGACAGGCAGCTCCATCCAAGTGGTTCAATTTAAAAATGGAATGTAGGTGAATACCGTATATTATGAGCACTAATATAATTGTTATAAATGTGGTCACAAAAAATTGACATCGTAAAGCTATGTCTTCTCCAATACATTTTATTTACATTTCACAATGGTTTATTTTACCACCGCAACAAATTTTCAACTATTCCAGCTTTCCCTTAAAGTGGATTTAATTACAATAAAATAAGGGAAATAAATACTTACCGCAATCTCCACAACGGGGACAGGAAATAGGGAAAGCAGGACAAAGAAAACATTAGCTAGTAAAAATCATCAGCGTGACGACTGATTACAATGACCGCACTCGTCCGCTAGCCGCTAGCCGCTGCATAACCGCTACAGACAGCCGTGGAGTAACCGCCAGCGACGGCCGTCATTTGGAAATCCAATTTACAGAAATAAAGTGCGTGACTCGAGTGAGGTAGAGGACAACAATTAGCCCAGAATGCCTCGGCCTGAACAGCGAGTGTGGCCCCAGGGTAGTCTGGCTTCTGTGTTATTATGTGGTTGGGTAATAGAGCATCATGCAAACCGACCTTAGCATACGGTGCTGGGCTACGAGTATACCTTCACCACGGAACGGTTGAGGAACGGTTTGAGATATGGAAACATAAGTAATATCTATATATTTATAGGCAAGCATGTTTCTTTAAAACCTTGTTTTCTCAGCTCGTGTGCATCACATGAAAATCTACGCATACTGTTAGAAAGATATTTTCCTGTAGATGTGCAGAATGACTTTATAAATTAAAATAGGCTAAAAAATAAGCACAAAAAATGAATTTTAAATTTAAAAGAATTAACATGGGTCTAATGGGTTGTCATGCTGGTGACGAAATAACAACTAAATGTAAACATAAATCAAAATAAATGGAAGAAATTCCAATCGCATGTTCTATTTACAGCATGGGGCGAAAATAGTATTCATAAAACCATCAAATTGGTATAGTAATGTTATTTAAAATTTGTGATTCGTGGAGCAACTTCCCACATTAGTAGTTATATACGGTGCTGGCTAGAAACTAAACCTTTACCACGGATGAGGTTGAAGAACAACTTTAGCTATGAAAACATTAGTGAAAAATAATGTTGACAAACTGGTATTACTTTGTATGAATCACAATCTGTATCCATCCAAGTGGATGGAATTCTTTTTGGAATATGAAGGGAAAAGTCGCTAGGGCCTCAAGAGAAAATGTTTTAACCCAAGTTCAACGACCGAAGCGATTGTTGGGAACTGATTCTGATATGTGGCCGAGGACAAGTTTCCACCAATGTAAACACAAGTGATACTCTCATAATTGTGTAAATTACAAAGATGGGGTCATACCTTGATCATTATTATGGTTCAGGAGATAAAATCCTGCAATAAAAAATATCTTAAATCCTGCTGTTATATCAGGAGGAAATTATCTTTGTGCATTGAAGTGTTAGGAACGATAATGTTTACAGAGAGGATGAAAATGTTCTAAGCACACAGGTGTTAGCCTGCAGTGAGACCACAGCTAAGCAGACTATTCACTAAAACCTTCTCTTCCTTGATGTCTACGCCTGATACATAGGCGTTTTTTTTTGCGAGTCTACAGCTAAAGGTCGGCTACCAACTAATGGGTTGTGGGATTCAGCAAAATCCATTAGTACTGTAGATGGAGCAGAAGTGTTTCACCTTAAATGCTATACTAGATTCTCTGAGGCCACCCAGTCTAAATAATACACTGATATTTAGTAATAACACATGATTTATATCTTGAGTAGGTTAGATGTTTACAAAAAACTACCTACATATTTGTACACATTTTCATGTATGTTCAACACTGTAAAATACCTATTCTACAACACAGATATTCCTTAAACGTGCAAGTCCAAACCGTAACCACAAGCAATATTTCAAATCAATATTTCAATAGCGCTGTATTTCAAAGTGGCATTTCAATAGTTATCCGATTGAATTGAAAGCGCCACATAGTATCGACCGATCTACCGCAGTTCTAATGCTGTAACGACTTTCCTCAACCAATGCCGAGATTCATCAGACCTTCTGTTTGTGCAAACTCCATCAGACAACTTTTACTGTGAAGTCAATCCAATTCGACGCCGGAGTTAGGTTAGTTTTGTTGCCCAAGTTGCCAACATCTCAGACCAAAGTTGCCTCTCCAAATCCCAATCTTCTAACTCAGTTAGCGTTGTGTCTGTGCCACGTTATACAGGATTTGTGGCGGTGTTCGTCACCTGATGAGACACATAAACTGGCTTATCCCCCTGATATTGCGTCAACGATAAGATTCAGTGGAGCTTTTGGTAGGGTGTGAAAGTGGAAAACTTACTTTCCAAGAACAAAATTAATTTTGGCACAGCCTGTAATCGTGGAATATTACATAGTCCCAAAATCAAGATGTAGTATTTGGTTAGGTCAGAACAAAAATAGGCGGAAAGAGATATTTGTGCAGTTATGAATAAACTACACATTTGTTTACTGTTGATGTTGGTCAAATTAATGTTGACTAAAGCAACACTCATTGTTTTAATTGTTAAATCTGGAAATATTTGTATAAAGACATATTTTCCTGTAATATTTTCATTACTGACATTGGATGATTATTTATTTGTAATATTAATGTTCTATTTTTAAATTACAAACTATATTGGTGTTCACGAATTGTAGTTCTAATGGCCAACGACGCCAGAAAATGTATATACAAAACGATGTAATGGAAGGTAAAAAACAGTGTTATATAAAACATAGTTTCTATATCAAAACCAACCTTGAAACTTTGTGATGTATATAATCCACAAAAAGCATGTGTAAATAAAATCAAATTAATATAATACAACAAACGAGCTTGCAACAAGGAATAATGAAGTACTCCAACATGTAAAAAACTAAGCTAGCACAAACATACGGTTTCATTAACATTGGCGATTAAAAAATCTTTATCTAAGTACTTTTCCTGGGTGACTGAACCATTGATTCGTCTATAAAAGTAATGACACTTCAGTAATAATTGTTAATTAGCTGAATTGATTTTGTTGAGTTTGTCTAGTTTCCTATTTTACTAGATAATTACAAAATATACTAATGAGTTCTCAGTAAGGGCAATGGAAACAATTAGGTTTTTAACCAAAGTAAGCCAATTGTTTATATATTTTTATTTTCCCTCAAACAAATTATCATGCTTTGAAAGAAAACCATGAGCCAGGTAGTTTTTGTAGTACTTTATATTATAATATTTTATATAACAAACATGGTTACAATTTTAATAGTGAAGGATGTTTGAAACAACCAGTTTAAACTATACATTTTGTTTACATATTTTTATCATTTGATTCAAAAATGTATTGCACACAAAAAATAAAAATTTCAAATAGCTCCACTAAAGATAAACTTTAGTAGGATATCATTATTGCAGAGAGCTTTCTCCTAAAGGCACCTTTTTGATTTTCATGGGCTCTGACACAAATCTATATTGGTTATCGCTAAGATTTAAACCTGAGCCTCCTAGAATGAAGTTCTGGGCTCTAAACAGTAGATCAGCCCTTTGTACACAAAGTAGACTTTAAGAAGTATATCTTAACACTACTTTTGTTGTCTGTCATGAACCCTACTACCAGGCCGATGTCAAACCCAAAAGTAATTTCCAATCTGGTTCCACAACTTTCAAGTTTTGCAAGTTTTAAGTTCAGGTGTAGAGAATGTGGAATCCCTCAGCGGCGAATGATTCGTCAGGCCCCACCGCTTCCGATTATTCGAAAAATCAAACAGGCTTAATCTCCAGCCCAATGGAGTGTGACGGATATGATTCGAATCATTTGAGTCGACATGAAGAGTCGTGATCCCACCCGTTCATTGGTTCATTGCCGTAGAGCTGACATTACCCAGTGATCTTATCGGATATAATCTCCAGTAGTATCGAAATTTACGTTGCATTTTTGAATTTGCGAACACTGTCCATGGATAAAATCGGAGTTCGTCGTTTTTTAATAGTAAATTTGGTAAAAATGTATAAGATGAATCGTTTTTGGTAACTATAGTATGGCTTTTAGCTGGAGTCGCTCTAAAATTAAGATTAAGTTTTTCCTGAACTCTGGGATCTATACTTTTGTTGTATAGACATATGGGTACCAAAACATCACATTATGGCATATAAAAACCATTATAATAATTATAACAATGACACTATCAATGAATTATAGGTTAAATGGTCTATGTTACCTGGCTTCGTCAAGTGATCCTGCTTCAGTAGTGTACTACTATTGTTCCGGACTTAAAGGCCACCTTCAGGTAAAATACAAAAACATCAATAAGTCATCTAACCAATTTGGTTAGATTCGGCGTTAACACTGAGAACACATAGGCGAACACGAAAAACACAGAAAACGAATATAATACTGTATAACTGGCCAGTGTAATTAATCACGGGAGACACGTGTGGCGACGCCGGAAGATGAGTCATGACTATAGTTGTACACTATAGTAGTACTATAGTAGTAGAAACTATAGTAGTACACTACTGAAGCAGGATCACTTGACGAAGCCATGTAACATAAACCATTTAGCTTAAATTTAGTGATCCAGAGGCTACCTCACCATGAGAATGAATGATATCTGTACAACCTAACAAGATTCGTTTTTACCTTTGTCACTGTCTAATACCGGACGTTTTTTTAACATTGAAAGCAACTGACTTTTTCAGGAACGAACCAGTGACCTTTAGATTATCTGACGAGTGCAATGACCACTTAGGTGCCCAGATATAATCTATTGACTTTAACGCACAGACATTCTCTCAAATCCTCTCCCCCTCACCTTTGATATTTAAATGTAAAATACTATTCACACCAAATAGTCAGCTATATAGACTCCAAATAGTTTTTACGTTGTAATACAATCAGAAACATTTACTTTGCCTCACTATTTTCATTTAAATTAAAACATCAACTGCAAACTAACATCACCACTCTCACCATAATCTTCTAAGCGCCTTCCTCGCCGTTAACGATAAAATTAACGTTGCTCCTCAGGCAGATTAAACGATAACGATAACGATCTCAGTCTGTCTCTCGCGTAACGAAGCTAGGTGCTTCTAGGAGAAATGTGGCGTCATTTGGCTCAACGGGGGACAACTCGTAATTAGAGGGGGGCGTGCGCTGGGGGACGGTAGATATGTGATACAGGGGGCACAACACGTATGATCACACACAGACGCACACAAGCACACACGCGTAGCAAACATGACACGAGCTACGTTGTACACGTCGTTTGTTCCCGAGAAGAATCCAAATGGCTCTATTTCCCAGGTCGAGCCCCGGGTGCCGTGTCAGAACAGCGTAGATCCTGCTTGAAATAAACAACAACCGCACTACCTCTAAATCTTCCTAATTAAAAACTACGGGGAGCTGGGCTATCTGATTTCATTAACTTAAGGCTAAGACGGTTCTTTTAGGCTCGGCTGTTTTATGTGCGAAAATACAACTATTTTGGGTGTTTCAGTAGTTTTAGTTAATTTAATATTTTGAGATTATCCAAACGCTGGTTTCGTAATAGTTCGCCAATTGTGGAATGTACAGTTTGATCATTTTTAGGTAGCTTAGTTGGAAATGCAGCATATAAATTTTTTTTTTTTATTTATTTGTACCAAAGGTAAGGCGAATTCTCTGGAGAATTTTTGTTAGTTTGTACGCAATGTTCAACACCTAATTGATAGTGTTACGTTTCAGCACTACAACAAACAAATTACAGTCGTAGTTTATTTTGAGATTGTATGGTTTAAATGCTGGTAATAGCAACATCCAATTCTATTCCATCCGATGTTCTAGATCCTACATATTCACCCACTATGTATATTCAATTGTTGAAAAGTTAATTCAATACCATAATTTATCATAAAAATCAAATTTTTTTCGAACTAATTTTACTAGAGAATAATAAAGCTTTCAACGGTTATGCTGTACGTATCTATTAGTACAACCCACATTACGTTACCAGTGACTATTATAGTTATAGGGGTAGTTTGGGTTACAGACCACAACAATTGAACAATAATGACTACTACGATTGACTATATAGCCAATGCTACAACAGATTGCTACTTTAACTTACAGAATTACCTGTAACTGAAGATAACACAGCTTTTATAGGGAAAAATCTTGTTTCAAGTTCAATTATTCTATTCAACTAGTCTATGTGTCTTAAATCACTGTAACCCTTTTACTGTGGATATTTTACCATAAGGTATAGCTTACACCTAAAATAACACCACTGTTATGATAATCGAGCTCGAATGGATAAACTATTCCTGTATTTTATAAGTTTTCCTTTATTCAGTGAAACGATTACTGTACATACTTCCATAGAACACAACTCATTAGGATTTTTTTGGAAACTTACAACTTCTTTTTCTGTTGCAGCCCGTCGGCATCTACCTCAAAAAGTACGAGTGGGCGGGCAACCAGGAGAGCGGCGACTGCAGTCTCTGGATTCGAGCAGCGACGCTCGAATTCGACGACGGCGAGTGGGAGTGTCAGGTGACAGCGAGTGACTTCACCACTCAGGACGCGCTGACAAGTTCACCTGTACGACTTGTGGTTAGAGGTCAGTGCTGACAGTAGACTATGTATACGTATAATATATATCGTGTAACTTATGTCCTGCCTACTATATCCTAAGTTGGGGGACCGAGCTGGCCTAGTGGTTAGAGCGCGTGACTTCGGTTCCAGAGGGTTCAAATCCCGCCAAATCACCAATGGATCTTATCTGCGAAACTCACACACATTACCAATCCCTAAACATTCTACGACATTTTTCAAAAGACACTTACAGTACAATGGAATAAAACTTTTCAATTCTCTTCCACTTTCTCTTAAGCTAGAACCAAACCTTCCAAAATTTAAAAAAACGATTAAAATCTCTTTTGATAAATTTTACCTCTTACAGCGTCCAGGAATTCATAAATCATATCAGCTCTAGGAATGCCATTGTAAATGTTGATTTATAAGTCTTTGATGCAATTTGTAGTATAATGTAAGCCATTTTGTAAATACCTGTATATATTGTAGATCTATGTAAGGCATCTTTTAAAAATAATGTGACTTAGCTAATGCAACTTGTTTTGTTAAAATTTTGACTAAATAAATGATTTGATTTGATTTGATTTGATTTGATCTATGTGATAATGCCGCAACCCCTAGGTCTAGCGTGAAGTAATGTGAAAAAAATTCCAAACTCCTGCCTAGCGTCCTAAGAAAAAAAAAACTACTTCCTAAGTACTAAACTCTATGACGTATATTATTTTCCTCATCGTATATTTTTAATATATATGATTCCTATGAAAGTTTTTCCATCCCTCCCCATCCCAGTTTGAGCTTTATGGAATGTATGTATTATTTCCTTTTATTGTGTTAAAATATTAACAGTTGTCTAACAAAACACTTAAGTCGAAAGAAAAATGCAACTTTTGATCTAGCCATATAGGAAGTTTTCCTGTAGTAACCATCATAAGACACTAGTTTCATCTGTAAAACTTACAGTATAAATTTATGCTGGATAGGTCTCAAAATCAGACAAAAGTACATAATATATTTAACATTTTAACAATACTAGTTTTTATCATAATGGCTTAAACATTTGTCTAATGTTTGCATATGTAATGTAATATTTGTACTATAACTGCATTATAATAAAAGCAAATCTACATTTGAAATATTAGCACATGTAAATCAAAATGTAAAAGCATTTGTTTTCAGTATGTGATATATGATAATTTAAATCCATGTGATACTTTTATACCCCATAAAATTGTACTCGAAGTTTAACTATAGAATTTCTTTTTTTAGGGGTGCTCACAAAAATTTTATTTATATTGATAGTTGTGATCTAAATATAAAATAAATAAACGGTGATCTCAATAAATACGTTCTAAATCTAAATATGGTGTGCGTCTACTAGTATGTATTGATGTGCTGTTTTAATACATTTACAATAGGGAGTTGAATTGAAACGTATATAAAACAATTTATGCTTACATGCACATTAAATCAACGTTAATGCTCAAGTAAATACTTAACTCTAGAAATCCACATTTTTAAAATTTTTAATACACTTTTCTTCTAGCAAATTAATGTTGAAATAACAAAATAACTTTTGCACTTCGGCTGTTCGATTTCTTATAACTGTTTGCATAAATGTAAAAATTACAAAGAGCATTTTAATGGAAGAGTAATTTTTCAATTCGACTTGGAAATCTCTTGGAATTGTTCTTCACGCTTCACTAGAACAGGCGAAGATAGTGAGCCGTAGGAGGGACATAATGCGTAGCAGGGTGGAAAATAATAACCAGAAATCGCCTGAGTGAGTCACTCGGTGAGATGGGAATTACCTTCGGTCGTGAATTAGAGTTTAATAACGTCGCTTCTGTTGATATATTACCCTAACTTCATCCAAAAATAATAAAAATTCATGTTTCGTTGATTTGGATCTGCAGTAGGCGAAGTGTGATTCTAATTTATTTAAATAACATAAATTAATATGATTAGAAAACATCGGCAATCATACATGTCATGGATTAAATTTAACCTTTTCTCTCCTCTAAAATATTGTAACAGAATTATATAACAAAATATCCACCTAACGAAGAGCAATGTAAAATTTGAATTAGTAAAGATATAGTTATTTTGATTACTTTTATTAACAATTGATTACCTTAGTGATACATGTAATATGAAACGCAGAAAAAAGTTTTTACATTTACTATTTAAAAGATTTTTTCCAGGTACATTTTGCATGACAGTAATAACGATTTATTAAACAATACTTTATTAATAAAATGTTTAAATATAAGAATTAATATTAAGTCCTTAATAAATACCATATAACGACTTAATAAACTTAATAAATAACTCCTCACTTAATAAACTAGGACTTAGAAACTTAGGACTTAATAAATAAGTCCTCAAATTAGGGCACTCCTTATAGTTACAATTATACAAATAAATACAACTTTGAGGTTTGAAACATATAGTTCTTTACACGAAACAACACTATTTCGCCTTTGAAAAATATGTAATTAAAATAATCAAGCGACACCTAGAAAAAATATCAAATGGAGAAAAACTGTATCGGGGAGGAGCAGAGGAATAGAAACTAAATTTTTGTAGCAGGAAGATTGAAGAAGGGGGATTAAATTATTTTTGAAGGTGAGAGGTAAAGCACTAGACAAGTTTTAAGAGCGAAGCGAGCATGGGGGAGGTAGTGGGGCCCAGTGTTAGTAGTATGGGTCCTATGCTCGAGGATCTCGAGATTTAGCCAAGTATATCTTCTCTGAGGAATGCTTGGTGGATTAAATGAAAATTACTTGGATGTCCTTGGAATGTGTCAATTTTATATAGTTAAGTTAAGATGGAAAATTTAGACTCTAGGCTCCGAGAGTTAAGGATTCTGCCAAGGCAAACTTTTCCGAATCAGGATACGCAGGATATATCAGCATCGGTTTCTCCAATCCAGATTTCCCTTTTCTTATTCCACATTTGAATTTCCGATTCGCTATGTGTAAGAGCCCTTGTCACAACCCCAATTAGTTCCAAGTTATGGCGACTGTAGACACGTTTCGTTCCGTCACCTCTCCGCGATTCTCCACATTCCGGCGACACTGGTCTTCCCCGTCGCCCGTCGTCTGTCAGGCGTCAGGCCAATGTACGAGACCTGCGGACGTCCCGCTGCGGCTCAAGTGGTAGATTGTTATCACTTTTCTCCAGTCTCCCACATTTTGGGACGCTTCAATCTTCTACGCCAACGGAATGCTTTTAACGCTACTGAGTGGCGCGAAAAACGTCCTAAAGGATTGTTAGGGATGATTGTTTATGGTATGTTTAGCGTGTCTTCTTTTAGTGATACATTTAACTGATTCTATACGCGAATCTTTTTATTTCCTAACTGCTTTGCTGTATCACTAAAGTAAAGTCTTTGTCTCCTTTTCAGTCCAACCACAGCGGCCCAGGATAGAACACCGCAGCAACGTCGTCCTGCCTGGACACAACGTCACGGTCAAGTCTGGGGACAAAGCCACGGTCAAGTGCCTCAGCAAGTATGGAAACCCTCCAGCAAAGCTTATGTGGTTTTTGGGTAAGTAGTCTGATTTTAGAAATATCTTACTTTTGGCTAGAAATATCTTATGTGTAAGTTGATAATCGCGGTAAACGCTTTTCAAAACACATAGCATGCACTCAAACGTGAGGGGTGGATTGAATAATTCTCCTGCGTTTAAAAATCTTTAAAAAATAAATACCTTACAAATCTATATGCTCTTTTTACGCATTTCCCCTTTGGGGGGGGGGGGGGCTAATACCATAAATCACATTGTGGTGTTAGCATTCAGTAGGAACAAACAGACAAATACACACACCAACTCTTTCTTAAATATAATACATAATACAAAAGAAACTCAATTTCATGCAATCGAAAAATCAAAATAGTTTCTCAAAAAATATATCGTTCATGTTTGCATCCATATATTCTAAATGTTGTACATATATTGTAACAAACTAAATCCCCAGCTATAACAGAAAAGAATACTATACTATCATTCTTTACCCAAAAATAAAACTACAAAATCGTGTAAAACATAAATGTTTACAGCCCCATTTAACCCACTACCCACTAACAGGAAGTTTAAAAGTACTGGCGTCGGACCCTGGTGCCAGTCCATTGATAAGGGTAATGCCACCCTGTTATCAGGGTTGTGTGTCGCTGAGCTGGGTTATCAGCTAAGTTATTGTACAGTCCGAGACTAAACTACTCAAGATATACAAGAGTGTCTCTATCAATCCACTTTATCTCATGTCCTCAAGAAACTTTGAAGAGTTTTAAATAGTTTGTTCTACTTAGAAATTTCTCATTAACTTGATATCGTAGAGGAGTTAAGTGTTCGTTGATTAGTTGTATCAGGAACGCTTTCCGTGTGTAGATTAATGCTTAATGAAACGTATGCTCAACTGTACTTTCTTGTAAATACATTTTTAAAACAGTAATAATAATAATATAGTGAAAAATAAAAAGAGTGATACTATAAAAACGTATTGACATTTTTGGTTCATTATTGAACGAACTTGTCTACCGTTTTCGTAAACGGTTTGATGAAAATATTTAAATTTATTTTAAAATAATTTCTTTGCAATCTCCACCAATCTATACCCCATATTGCACTCTGTTTTGCAAACAATCAAACTATTATAATTTTATACATTAAATATTAAGAAATATATTCCATCTATAATATTTGTTTCTAACTAACCCGTTTTAGATCCAAAATCCGTTTAAGGCAGAAAATACGTTTTAAGTAAAATAAAAGAAAGGAAACGGGCGCCAAGCATTTAAGGGCGCATAAAGAAGCAGAATCGCTGAGTCGTTTCTTGTTATTAGTAGTGATTGTGTACATTTACTTTTGTGAGGTAACTTTATGTAGCATTTCTTAAATTTGTTTTGGGTATAGCTTTATTCTTCCCTGCGTTGTGTGGATTATAATAGCGATTGATGTACTGTACATAAAGACAATGTATTTATTGATAGTGGTTAAATTGAATGCATTTCTTGATATATTTGATGTGTAAATAAATCCCAGTTATAGCTAAAAAAGTTGAAAGTGTCAAGTTCTGTGTCATTTATATAGTAACTGTAATTGATTGACGTTTTTATCGTGCCTCACTTCTAAAGATGTACTTTTAAGACACTGTTGCCTATTGTTCATTTATTTTAAACAGCACCGATTACTATTCATTTCAGACGTGTAACTATGACACCTCTTATATACCACGTGTTCTTCTGATTGTTAGACCTACTATGACGTCATTCACAGATGTAACCACCATGCATTGTATATTTACACTTGCATGACGTCACTCATATTTGGCTAACATCTGTTATAACTTCCACACGTTAAATGTTGACGTTACTACAATGGGGAGCGAGCTGGTCTAGTGGTTAGAGTGCGGGACTCCGGTTCCTGGGGTCCCGGGTTCAAATCCCGCCAAATCACCAATGGATTTTATCTGATAATGCCGTAACCCCTAGGTCTAGCCTGAAGTAATGTGAAAAACAATTCTGGACTCCTAGCGTCCTAGGACAAAAAAATATTGACGTTACTCGTGGATGTGGCTAACATTTGCGTTGTCATTACGTCACTGTTGTTCCAGGTGAAGTTGACGTCACCAACATGAGCAGTCAGAGCAACAGTCCTGAGATGGACAATCCGAGGACCTGGGTGGCCAGCTCTGTCCTGGAGATATCCTTGGACAAGGACCACCACCAGAGGAGTCTTCGGTGTGTCGCGGTGCATGAGAGCTATCCTGCCAAGAGTCAGAGTGCCGAGGTTCGCCTGGACATCACCTGTGAGTACCTTATCCTGAATGTTTCACAGTAATAGGTAGCTGGATTTAGTCCTCACATAATTAAAAGGTTGTTGATTTGAATTTAAAACAAATTAAGAAGTTTTTTGAAGGCTACGAATTGAAACGGGGCGTCCTTGATCATCATAGTGTAATAAATGGCTTTGGAAAAAGAACTGACTTATTTCTTAAAGCTGTCGACTCGTTTTTTCAACACTCTTTCGTTATTTACTTAGATTAAAATACGCACTCTGTTGAGCTGGCTTAGTATATAATTATCTAATGTACAATCAACATCAATTCAAACTTATCATCCAGTAGCAAACTAAAGCTTCGTTTTACCAATGTTTCATGTTGGGTATGTTTTAGTAAATGTATATTGACGAAACATTTTCCCCGTTGATCTAACATAGAAAATTATGTATAATTAAAAAAGTATTACCTACGAAGTCTTAAATATGTAATGCATATTGTGATACAAGCACATAAATGTATTTTGTGTGAAACGATAACGCCACGTTTTTGCTTGTTATTTAAATAAATAGGCGTTGTACACTTAATTTTCCTCCGAAATAATTAGAGGATTTAATACAGTATGATATGAAAATATAATATTATCTTTCATGTTATTGTGGCGAAAAACTAATCTTCAAATGAATAATTTAATCATTATACATATATTTGTATCCTCAAACTAATACATGCATATTTTACTAAAACTTGATTTGCTATGTCAGCATCCGTAATCAAAGAGTTTCCTTTTTTTAGAAATAAAATACCTTAAAAACAGAATACTTTAACTTTCGAAGGTAAACATGTGGTGCCCATTTGAAAAGGGTCAAGACATTACACCCTTGTTAAGCTTGACTTCTCACACCACAACTCTGGCGAGTCTATAAACATCTCAAAAGGTTCCAAACCGTCCCAGTCACAATGGGCGTAGTCCTGTAGAAAGCATTCCACAATGAAAGGGCCAGATTGTAGGCGAAGGGCCCTGATAGTGAGCGATGCACCACCTGAACAATGGAAAGAGCGGAGCGAACGAGCGCCGTCCATTGAATGGGCTAAAGTGGTTGATATTGAAGTGACTTATGTCTTAGCCCTCGGGCGCTGGCCTAGATTTTCATTTCGATAAGGCCTACTTCCCTTCTTAGGGATTGTTGTCCATAAATGGATACTCTTTGGGTTTCTTTGTGACCAAGGCATACACCACGCATTTTTGACAATATTTTCGTGCAGTGTCACCATTAAAGATTACTTGAAAAATTACTGGTCTTTGAAAATGTAATGAAATTGCAGTATTTTTTGCGAAAATTAATTTAAATCTAGGATTTTATATTTTATAAATAATAAAAATATAACTAAACAGCTTTATTTCCAGTTTGACAGTTTTCTACCGTAAAAGGTTAGTAATACAATTCGTCTTTGAGAAAAAATGTATAGGTGTACGACTACATGTATACATCTATACAATTTACATAACGGTATATTCGTCTAGGCCTTACAGTTTACAATGGTGACTGATTACGAACAATCAGTCATCATCAGCCCCAATTTGAGGTTCCGTAAATGTTTTAATTATTAGTAAATGTAAATAGAAAAGTGTCAGAAGAAAAAAATTGATATTTGTGTAGGAGCGCTGATTAATAAGTAAAATTCGAATAAAGAAGTGATTCCTTAATCCACCTTAGTACGAAAATACAGTTTCAAGGATTTGTTTGACACAAACCAACATTTCATGTTCTATTCTATTTCTTACTACAATGATAGGATACAATTGAGTAGCTTCTAAAACCCTGTAGTTCATATTTCCTTATCTGAGATGGCAAAAGCAGCAAAGAGAATGACAATTGAGGATGGTTGAGGTCTAATGTGATTAATACATTTAATTTAAGTAATATTAATAAAACTTAAACTTTCGAGCAAATAAAATGCTTTTAAGACATGCTGTAAACCTACTTGTTGGATTATCTAACTTGTTAATCAAATGTTTGTCAATTTTTAGAAATTAATTAGTTCCTGTAAATATATTATTTTAAAAATAATAAACTCGCGGAAAACTAACTGTTTAAAATTATATTTAAAGGTCTGAGATTTTACACCATTATTTACGGTTTTTTTTTTAATATCCAACGCTAATTTTGTTACTACATAACGTCAAATTATGTATATATGGTTATGTAGTTAAAGATTTACTTGCAGATTCAATTTCAAGTCCAAATTATACGGCTCTTTCATTAAGTACAAAAAGATTTATTTCCTTTTAATGAAAGTCTTGATTATAGTCAGCAAAGTCTGAACGAAACCCCTAAATAATGAACATCAGTCCCAATCAGTTCCTGCCAATTTCGCGTTCGATGCGTATAAGCTTCTTACAATATAATGTAAGACTGTTGAGATTTCAATTAGGTTAATCCAGGTATAAAGTACAAGGCGGTTCATTTATTGGCCCTGATATTACCGCCTATATTAGGCCATTATCAGCCGTGTGTGCAATGGATTACAATTATACATTACAATTATAGATCTTCATATCATAATACTGCAAAGTGGGTTTTATTTATCTAGGTATTATCATAGACAAAAATAATTAAATATAGACTGTCAGCCGTGCTGCGGTTACCATAGGTTCTTGCGCAAACCGCTGGGAGCGCCGTGTAGTTACGTAGCGCGTACGCCGCAATCACATGGCGCTCCCAGCGGTGTGCGCCAGAACGTATGGTAACCACAACACAGCTGACGGTCTATATTTAATTCGTTTTGCATATGGTACTATGTATGTACTGTGTTCTGACATCAATAATCTATATGCGTCGTGTGATTAACGTTATATTTTAAACCAATCCGTATTATTATTCACTGCGAGATATGCTAATTAGAACACGATATACTGTTTCTTTCAATGTTATTACATTTCTTCAATTTATTTTGGCAATACCAGCTGATAACTATATAAAACCTGTTGAACATAAGTTAACTTTGATAAGCTCAACATGTTCAAACCGGTCAGCTTTCATAAAACAAATCTTAAACTATGTGCATTCCAAAATATCAAAGGTTTGTGTTGTTCTTTATGTAGGATAATATTAGTTAACTCGTTTTCCCTTGAAACGTTGCAAATGTATTTTTGTTCCACTTCCAAGCAACAATTCGGTCATTAAACAATATCCACTCTTTAATTTAAGATTCGCAGTTTTATTTAGCAAGATGTAATTAAGCTCGCCTTTGAAGCAGCGGCGCCGATCTCTCAAGAGCTCTGATAATGACGAGAACTGATTACTTCAACTCTCGACTGAGAACTGCTCTTGCTAATAGTCTTTATTGAATATCGTTTACATTTTATTGTTAATTAATTTACCCTTTGATTTCGATATCGTTAGCTTGAAAATTAAAGAGATCAAGTAAGTTGTTGTGTTTGCGAAATTGTTTATTATTTTATTTCAACGTTTGGAAAGGTTTTTAGAACAATTTACAGTCTTATAACCGAAAATCCAATGGAACCTACTAAGCTCATTCTGTTTACGCAGATACGAAGTAAAGGATGGTTGCTGTTGTAATCTAAAATGAAAATCATCAGAACTCTGGTCTTTGAAATAAAGGGTCAACACTACAAACGCATTTAGGCACATGAAGATATAATAGGGTCTAACCTCCTAGTAAAGAGCGTCTATGTCATAAAGTCATCATAATAAACTGTTACGTTTATTTTGATTCAAACTAAGTCGCATTCTTACTTGAAGAAATTAAGTTCGGCTAAGGCAGTAGATCTCAAATTAGTTCCTATAAAAACAAATCATGATAAACTCTTAATTTATAAAATTACGACAGTTAAAATACAGATACTCTCACTATATTGCTAAATTACACAAAATGACAAAATATTACTTAATTTAACAACATTTTATGAGCGGATACAATACTCATTCTAATATGACGATAAACATTTTTATCTTACACTAATCACTGTGTTAAAGTGGTATTAGAATTTCAAATAGAACTCTTTGTTAAAGACTTGGCTAAAATTTAAGATCTGATAATAATGTTTACTGCATATTGCTTGCGTTTTATTGCTTATCAAATTACTTATCGCTTCGCCCCATCGAATAAACAATATTGTGGCAAATGAAGTTACTTTTTGCGATTAAAAATTGTTTATAGCTTTTTTATACTTGATCACTTTTATCATACATACAAACTTACAACATACAAACATACAAATATTAACATACAAACTTCTACACAAAAAAATGGTGCGACTGTTGAAATTCCACAAACATTATTATAAAACACATTATTAGTTGAGAAATAAAAATACTGTAGTACTGTCAAATGACTCTTTGCTTCAGTATCAACAAATTATATTTACATTGATTAAATAATTAACGTTGATGATTACATTATTTAAAAACGGGGGAAAATCTAACACAGAAATTGAAAATATACTCAATGTAGGGTTTTAAATCAATGGCATGAGCCTAGAACAATAAAGAGCCTTATTGAGTTGATTCTTTTCACATATTAAAAATTGTCTTAGTTTTTCTTTTCGTTTACGAACTGTAATCGTCAAATCATTAATGTAACATTCCGAATATTGAAAGAAAAAGATATCAAAGACTCGTAAAGAAATCTCAAGCTCACTTATTTACAAGCTTTCTCTTAATTTTCAAGCTAACAACGAATATCGAAATCAAAGAGAAAATTAATTGACAATAAGATGTAAACGATATTCAATAAAGACTATTAGCAAGAGCAGTGAGTTGAAGTAATCAGTTCTCGTCATTATCAGAGCTCTTGAGAGATCGGCGCCGCTGCTTCAAAGGCGAGCTTAATTACATCTTGCTAAATAAAACTGCGAGACTTAACTGCGAATCTTAAATTAAAGAGTGGATATTGTTTAATGACCGAATTGTTGCTTGGAAGTGGAACAAAAACAAATTTTCAATGGAAAACGAGTTAACTAATATTATCCTTTCTAATGAAAAAGCACACAAAGAACAACACAA